CCCCCCCCCCCCCCCCCCCTTGTCTTCTCCTCTCTGTACCCCAACATGGAACCGTTAGAAAATAAATTAGAGCTTAAGATAAACTATAAGAAAATATATCAAATTAGTGAAATAACACATCTAACCTAAGTTGTTGATTTTCTGCAATGAATCTTCCAGTTCTTTTTCCTTTGTATTTAGCTCTTCACGAAACTGTCTGATACTAGTTAAAGTACTCACAACGCTATTTTTAACCTTAGTCGTCAGATCTGAGTCAGAACAAGGTTGCTTGTCCTGTAAGTTTTCTTGATTTGCATTGGTTTTGTTAGATGCCTTAGTGCGATGAGAGGGTTCTCCTTCTTCAGCTGTTTTCTCCCTTATTTCCTGATTCCATCTAGCTCGCTTGTCCCCCCTAGTGTCTGCTTCGAATGGTGGTTGCTCCATCTGAGTACAAGTCGTTTAATAACTTCAACTTAGCAAAACCTAAAACGTAACGTTGAACGCAAGTTATTTGATTTTCATACTAACATTGGAGGAGAACTTGAGCCTAGGACTTTCGCCTCCTCTGATCAACTCCAAAGTTAGAGATTCCCCTGCTCTTACTCCATTCACGCCACAGAAGATTCTCCAGCCATTACGACTCTTAATGTACATGTATATTGAATTCAAAAAATAAAAATAAAAAAATAAAAAATAAAAATAAATATATATATATATATATATCGATTCATTTGTTTTTCAACCTTAAGCTCCATCACCCACTTAGTTCCTTTTTATCTACCATAATTATCTTTCCCGGCCCGTTTACTCTCGTGCCTCCCTCAACTATCTTTTTGTTTTTTTTCATTTTTTTCTTGTGTTACAGCAAATAGTAACTTGTTGCTTATTGTTTAAACATGCATTGGAAGAAGTCTCTTGCTTTACAACAGTTGACCTTACTCGTTTACTAAATCAGAATATAAGAAGACAAGTTCATTCCATTGCTAAGATATACCAAGTTGGAGTTCATAAGTAAAATAATGCGTAAATCAATAGAGTTATACTCTATTAGACCATTCAAGAAAATCATCTTCTCAAATTACTTCTTCAGATTTAGTGTTTTACTCATTATTTTACTTATGTTATTTATTGTTTATTATGGTATATGTATTTGTATAATCAGTTTCCGATTTAATTAATAAGTTTAAGTTGTTAAAAAAAAAAAAACAAGTTGGAGTTTGATACATTCAAACATAATTTAGCATATCATGACTTCTCCACTTCCTAAATTAGTTCTTTCTCTGCAAGTTCTGACGATGAAGAGAGAAAGCGACCTCGTTCTCAACCTATTCTTCCTTGTGATCATCATCTCATTGATGCAAGTTGGAGAGAGTCAGAATACGGTAACAGATGTTAAAGTGGGAATCGTAACCGATGTCGGAATGACATACTCCAACATGGCCTTGTTCTGTATCAATATGTCTCTTTCTGGTTTTTACTCTTCCCATCCAGAAACACGAACAAGGCTTGTATCCACTATTGTTGACTCCAAAAACGATGTTGTTATTGCAGCAGCAGGAGGTACATACACACGCATGCACAATTCTTGTACTACATTAATGCTCTCTTATAACAAAACATTTTCCTTTGTCGCAGCTCTTGATTTGATAACAAACAAGAAAGTGAAAGCGATTATAGGACCATGGACTTCCATGCAGGCGCAATTCATGATTGAGATAGGACAAAAATCTCAGGTTCCCATTGTTTCATATTCCGCAACAAGCCCCTTCCTATCTTCCATACGTAGTCAATACTTCTTTCGAGCTACATATGATGATTCATCTCAAGTGCATGCCATTAAAGAAATCATCAAACTTTTTGGCTGGAGAGAGGTTGTACCTGTATACGTTGACAACACCTTCGGAGAAGGCATAATGCCTCATCTCACCGATGCGTTACAAGAGATTAACGTTCGTATACCTTACAGAACCGTAATCTCTCCCAATGCCACGAATGAGGAACTCTCCGTGGAACTTCTCCGGATGATGACTCTACCCACAAGAGTATTTATTGTCCACTTTTTTGAACGGCTTGCCTCAAGATTCTTTGCCAAAGCTAAAGAAATTGGTTTGATGAAGCAAGGATATGTATGGATCATCACCAATTCCATTACCGATGGTCTTAGTTCAATGAACGAGACAGAACTTGATACAATGCAAGGGGTCTTGGGTGTTAAGACTCATGTACCGAGATCTGAAGAGCTTGAAGGATTTAAATCTCGTTGGAAGAATAGATTCTCACTTTCTGACTTGGACGTGTATGGACTGTGGGCTTATGATGCCACCACTGCACTGGCAATGGCCATAGAAGAAGCTGGTACATCAAATTTGACTTTTGCCAAGACAGATGATGCCATGAGGAACATGCCTGGCTTTCAAGGTCTAGGTGTATCTCAATATGGTCCAAAACTTCTCCAGGCACTCTCCGGAGTTCGGTTCAAAGGTCTTGCTGGTGATTTTCGATTTATCAACCGAGAGCTGCAGCCGTCAGTGTTTGAGATTGTTAATGTGAATGGACATGGAGGAAGGACCATAGGATACTGGACGAAAGAACATGGTCTCTTGAAGAAGGTAGACCAAACACAAGTTACCACGACCACTTTCTCTACTTGGAAAGATCGACTTAGACCAATTATATGGCCTGGAGACACCACCTTTGTACCCAAAGGATGGGAGATCCCCACAAATGGGAAACGGCTGAAGATTGGAGTCCCACTTTATAGCGGTTACCCCCAATTTGTGAAGGGTACAAGGGATCCTATCACCAATTCAACAATATTTAGTGGATTCTGCATTGAGTACTTTGAGGCTGTTATTCAAGCCATGCCCTATGATGTTTCCTATGACTTCATTTCTATTTCTGTAGACGAGATGGACTATGATACTTTGGTCTACCAAGTGTACCTCGGGGTAAGATCATATTCAACCCACCTCTATATTTGCTTCTTTAATCTTATATATTAAAACAGAAGTCATGACTTGATTTCATGTGTGATTTTTTTAAAAATGGACTGTTACTAGAAAGTTATGTTACATTAACTCTCTAATAATATTATCATTATTATATCTTATAATGTGCTTAACAATTTTGTTTTGGTAAATTACCCCATACCTTCCAACTTAGTCACGCAAAATATGTCAATAGATATAAATTTAGGAATCTTCTATTATTTATAAGGAAATATGTCAATAATAGTTAAATGCATCCAGAATATATTAACAAAAATCACAGATTATTAATATGTAATATTTATATACCTTAACAAAATTTACACGTTATATATATTAGATAAATTTATTTCGTTGTAAAATTTTAAAATTGTATTGTTAAAAAAAAAGAAATTGTTTAAAAAGTTCCTTTTTAATAAACTTTTTATAATATTAATTTATGAAGCTATAAGTTTAGTTTTTAGCAAAAAATTCTTCGAAGTTTATATTATCTTTGCAAATTAAATTACACTAATATTTAATCAAGCTCTATTTATATTACTTTATCTAAAAATGAAATACTAATCTAACAAAAAATAAAATATAGAAGAAGAAACAAACACATGTTTGAAAGTCATGTATAATATAGAAAATTTAAAACAATCTATTTGATTAAAATACTTATTATATAATATTATTATGTTTGAAAAACATTTACTATACATATCGTAAATATCTGATTACTATAATATATACCAATTTACAAGTGAAAACAAAATGTTTATATAACTATAAACGAAAACAAACACCCGCGCGGTTGCGCGGGTCAAAATCTAGTAACATTTAAAAGCAAAATTACTCCAAATCATCTCTATTTTTTTCTGTAAATTACATATCATATTTTTTCCTCCTTGTGGAAAAAAAAACTAACATGCTCTATATTTACCTCTATATTTGAAAATTAATATTTTAGAAAAAAATACATTGCAGTAAATCTCATCTCTATTATAAAGTTTTTTTTTTTTAGATAAAAAAAAGAAGGAAAATACGTTTGGAGATGGTCTAAAACATACCAATCATTTCCTCTTTATTATGTCCAACCTTTACTAAGCTGTATTCTCTAAACAATGTCCTTGTTATATTGTGTTTTGAGTAGAAATACGATGCAGTGGTCGGAGATACAACAATATCAGCAAACAGGTCAAAGTACGTTGAGTTTTCATTACCGTACACACCATCAGGTGTGGGTCTGGTCGTTCCTGTAAAAGACCATGTCAAAAGAAGCAGTACCATATTTTTGACGCCTTTGACATGGGGACTATGGCTACTCATCCTTTTCTCCTTTTTCATAATCGGCATTGTCGTATGGGTTCTTGAACATAGGGTAAATCCAGACTTTGATGGGCCTGGAAAATATCAAATCAGCACTATACTCTGGTTTTCTTTCTCCATTATGGTCTTTGCGCCGAGTATGTTATACTCTCTACTTCACATTGATATTATACCAATGCACATTTTTTTTTTAAATACTTAAGTGCCGTCTTGTTTACATTTACAGGGGAAAGGGTGCTTAGCTTCTGGGCAAGGCTCGTGGTAATCATTTGGTACTTCTTAGTACTTGTGTTGACTCAGAGTTACACCGCTAGTTTGGCAACGCTTCTGACATCACAGCAGCTTCATCCAACTATAACCAACATAAATACCTTGCTGACAGAGGGAGCAAGTGTGGGATATCAAAGCAGTTACTTCATTTTGGAGAGACTCAGAGAATCAGGTTTCTCAGACGCTAATCTCGTAGACTATGGGTCTCCTGAACACTGTGACGAGTTACTCAGCAAAGGACCAGCAAAGGGAGGTATTTCTGCAGTTTTCATGGAAGTGCCATATGTGAGACTCTTTCTTGGACAATACTGTAACAGGTATAAAATGGTTCAAACACCATACAAGGTCGATGGGTTCGGCTTTGTAAGTCCATACATACCTTTGCAAAAAAAAAAAAAAACACTCTCACTAGCTAGTGCTAAGATCATAATATTTTTGTGCAGGTCTTTCCCATTGGATCCCCTCTAGTGGCTGATGTTTCAAGGGCCATTCTAAAAGTGGAAGAGTCTAACAAGGAAAACCAACTGGAGAACGCATGGTTCAAGAAAATAGATGAAAGTTGCCCAGATCCACTCACAAACCCGGACCCAAATCCATCTGAATCCTTCCTGCAACTTGGGATCGATAGTTTTTGGGTTTTGTTTCTCACTGCTGCCATAGTCTGTGTTACCGCATTGGGGAAATGTATGTTTCATTTCTTGAAGGAGAATCCATACCAAAGAAACCTGCAAGAATTATGGGAAATGTTCCTTCAGCCAGATAGAAAGTCATACATAAACCAAGTGACGAAGATATGTCAATGCTCCTCAGGCCTAGGCATGTTGGATAATAACCATGAAGAAGCAAACCCAGCAAACAATGGCAGTCATACTTAACTTTTCCTGTGCGAGATTCATTACATGTTTAACTAACAAACACAGACATTTCCTACGATCATCATGATCTTTGTTCACTATGATGTACAGTAAAAGGTGTTAAAATATGCCCCCTTATGATAGTGAATCAACAAAGATTCTGCATACAAATAAAACAGTAGCAAGCAAAAAGAACATTTTTAAGGAAGATAATTTACCCATAGCTCAATTGGATTCCCAAAACCCACAAAGTCAAACATTCTAAAGCAACGAAATCGAAATAAATTGAAATTTACTCCTCTATGAGCTACAAAGCCACGATACTGACTTAACAAAAAAATAGTGTTTTAGACTATTTAGACGCTTTATTGTTGTTTAAATTATCTACCCACATTCAAAATTTATACTAATGTATCTCTAATTTATGTTCATGGTATATGGACATCAGTTATAATTTTCTATCGATTAATTTAATAAAATTATATACCACGTAAATAAAAAAATTAAACCCCTATGAAATCTTTATATTATAGAGAAATTCGGACAACAAAGGTGTTAGACATCCTTGATCTTCATCCTATATATGTGATGGATGCATTTACCCATTAAAAGAAAAGTACCGTATATTCAAATTTATTTTGAAATTTGTGGATTAACCCATACAAAAAGATCAAATTTTTCGATAGATGTTATATACTGAAGTTTAAGCACTTTCATGTTTATTAAAAAATACCTAAACATATTATACATTTTTAACAATATATGTTAAACTTATTTTGATGCTACATGGCATCGTTTATAATATTTTAATGAGTAATTTAATAAAATTTCATATTTCACCTAATTTTGTGGACTAACTCCTATAAAATTTGTAATTTCTGGAAAAATATAGACAAATAAGGTCTCAAACCTCTATAATTTTCATAACATATCAGTTCATGATGAAACTGTACATTAATATTTTTTTTACATATCCCTTATTGGCTTGAGGAGCATTGACATTTCTTCACTTTGTTTATGTATGACTTTTGATCTGGCTCAAGGAACTTTTCCCATAACCCTTGCAGGTTTCTTTGGTCTGGGTTCTCCTTCAAGAACTGAAACATGCATTTCCCCAATGCAGTAACACAGACTATAGCTGCAGTGAGAAACAAAACCCAAAAACTATCAATGCCAAGTTTCCGAAAGGATTCAGATGGATTTGGGTCAGGGCTGGTGAGTGGATCAGGGCAACTCTCATCTATTTTCTTGAACCATGCGTTCTCCAGTTGGTTTGCCTTGCTGGACTCTTCCACTTTTAAAATGGCTCTTGAAACATCAGCTACTAGAGGAGATCCAATGGGAAACACCTGCACAATAATAAACTTATGAGTTCAAAAAATGCTGCAATAAAGAGTGTTTTTGCAAAGGTAAATGGACTTACGAAGCCGAATCCATCGACCTTGAATGGTGTTTGAACCATTTTATACTTGTTACAGTGCTGTCCGAGAAAGAGTTTCACATATGGCAGTTCCATGAAGACTGCAGAAACACCTCCCTTTGCTGGCTCTGTGTCCAGTAGCTCGTCACAGTGTTCTGGAGAGCCATAGGTCACGAGATTAGCATCTGAGAAACCTGATTCTCTGAGTCTTCCCAAAATAAAGGAGCTACGTTGGTTCCCCACACGTTCTCCCTTTGCCAGCAAGCTGTTTATGTTGGTCACTGTTGGATGAAGCTGCTGTGATGTAAGAAGTGATGCCAAGCTAGCGGTGTAACTCTGAGTCAACACAAGTACTAAGAAGTACCAAACGATTACCACAAACCTTGCCCAGAAGCTAAGCACTCTTTCTCCTGTAGATGCATTTTAGATGTAAACAAGATGATGTTTGTGAAAAAAATGAGCAATGTGAAGGAGAGAGAGTGGACATACTTGGCGCAAAGACCATAATGGAGAAAGAAAACCAGAGTATAGTGCTGATTTGATATTTTCCAGGCCCATCAAAGTCTGGGTTAACCCTATGTTCAAGAACCCAAATGACAATGGCAATTATGAAAAAGGAGAAAAGAATGAGTAGGCATAGTCCCCATGTCAAAGGCATCAAAAATATGGTACTGCTTCTTTTGACATTGTCTTTAACAGGAACGACCAGACCCACACCTGATGGTGTGTACGGTAATGAAAACTCAACATACTTTGACCTGTTTGCCGATATTGTTGTATCTCCGACCACAGCATCGTATTTCTGCTCCCAACACAAAAGAACCAGGACATTGTTAAGAGAATCCAGCTTAGTGAAGGTTGGGCATAATAAAGAGGAAATGATTGGTATGCTTTAGACCATCTCCAAACGTATTTTGCTATTTTTCTATCTAAAATAAAAAAAAACTTTATAATAGAGAAGAGATTTACTGTGATAAGGGTTTTTAATCCTCAGAGCAAATCGATTGTAGTATTTTAGATTGTCGAACCACAAGGAACTAGTGATCTAAACACTAAGACTACACAAACTTTCCTAATCTAAGCAAATAAGAGAGATGGTTTATTTGTAACAAGCTAAGATCCTAAAAATATAAACAAATGTGATCTCAAATCCAATCTAGAAACAATCACNTGATAAGGGTTTTTAATCCTCAGAGCAAATCGATTGTAGTATTTTAGATTGTCGAACCACAAGGAACTAGTGATCTAAACACTAAGACTACACAAACTTTCCTAATCTAAGCAAATAAGAGAGATGGTTTATTTGTAACAAGCTAAGATCCTAAAAATATAAACAAATGTGATCTCAAATCCAATCTAGAAACAATCACAAGAACACTTTCAATCAAATGATAAGGTAGAATCCATGGGATTAGGCAATTGATCTAAAGCAATTAAAGTTTCAATCAAAATGTTCCTTAAGTCTAAACAACAATGCTAAGCAAGTCCTAGGTCTAGGCAAATGCTCATTTGCTTTCATTAATCAAACACAAATGGTCATTGGCTTAATTAGTTCAAGCAATCATTAAGATTAAGTTTAATAACTATCTAAAACCCCTAGATACAAATGGTCATTGGCTAGGTAGTCTTAAAGCTAAGAAGAGTTGTTTCAGTCATTTAAGCATACACCTTGTGGGCAGAAAATGACTAAGGTTCAATCCTAGAGTGATCAAGTCTAGAATAGCATTAAACACACTCAACTAGCAAGGAAACACTTAGATCTACACTTAATCACCTTAAATCTACCTAACCCATGAATTCTAAAAGTGTCTACTCTTTAATCTCCATGAGAAACCTTAAATCCATGATGGATTCAAGGCTAATCATGTATATGAGAATGAGAAACAAGATATAATATGAAATACTTCCTTAAAATGATCAAAAGGTTCAAGCTTTTACAATTAGAAACAAGTTCTTGAGAGAAAATGAGATACTTTAGGGTTTTTGGAGTCTAAAACTATTTATAGGAGGTCTAAATTCGCCTTGGTTTAGTTGAATTAAACCGGGTCAAAACCGGACTAAACCGGTAAACTGTTGACTTGGCTCCATAGCGACTTTTGTATCCCGTTACACCAAACCGCTACGGAGCACGTCTTGTGTCTAGCGACGTCTGTTAGTCGCTACCGTAAAGCCGCTACAAACCTTGAATGAATTGGGATCCACTTCGTTTCTCTGTACGAAGCTTCTCTTCATCACCTCACCCATCGTCATTGGGACATCTCCAAATCATGGCCAAGCTCGTCATCTCCGTCATGATGTGACCAATCTGTGACTGCGCCACCATCTCCTCCATTGCGGCCGAGCTTCACCGTTGTCACTCTCCGCACAAGCTCCAACCCTCGTTGCAATTCTCCACCACGGAATCATTCGGTCGTCTCCTCTCCGCCGTTCTCAGTTCACCGGAACCGTGGTCCTCACCATCACAGCTCCAAGTCGGAGCTCTCCTGCGTCACGAACTCCGTCTTCCTCCGTTGCCCATAGCCACACAAGATAGAATCCTTGTCGTGCTCGGATCTATAGGCTGTAGTTTCCGGTGCTCGAGTCTCGTCTTAGTTGTGCTCTGCTCCGCCGTCGGGTTCGCCGTATTCCATTCACGGAGGGAGAACGAAGAACAACAATGGTGGACTTCTAGGTATTTGCGCAATTGGTCCTCAAGTTTTGATTATTTTGATATCAGCTCCAAACTTTGTAAAGTGCAGAAACACCCTCTCGAATCAACCCCTGGACTTTTGATTGTGCATTATAAACCCAGCGAATATTACTGATTTGCAATCTTGGTCCCTGTATTCTTGTGGCCTTTCGTTTCTGACCCAAAACTTCCATAATTGCATAGATAACCTTGCAATTTCACCTCAAACTTCCAAATATGCATTTTAAACCCTGTTTTATGCAAATGAACAAATGTATGCACTATATACATATAATATGCAATCTAAATGATCAAATGAACAAAAATAGGATACTAAAAACCTATAAAAATATGAGATATCA